TCTCTCTCCGTTGCTTAAATTCTGAATTTCTTTCCTTACTTCACACTTCCCCATTCTTCTTTATTCTTTCTCTACTCTTACTCTCTTTTTCTCTCTGATCTTTCTCTATTCTTTCTCTCTTTTCTTTCTCTGTTCTAATTTCCCACTACTCAGATAATGGGCATGGTATTATGCATATATATAATGCAAATGCACAAATGTATAAAATATGCATTTTCTTTTCTTTTTTTTTTATTCTGTTTTCTGTNATCTTCATCTTGATCACTTAGTGACTTGGTATTGTTCGAATCTGCTTTTTGAGATGAGAAATATCCAATGGTCATAATAATTTTGTCCATATCTTGAGGGGTTTGGCATTGAGCCAACTCAGCCAGAAGTTTTGATTTTTGCGTCAGAAATGTTAATTATTATTGAGGTTAACATAAATAAGGGTGTTGAAAAATCCATATCTGCACAGCTGGTGAGCCAACATTTTGGATGGAAAAGTTAGGCCACCATTTAGTAAAGAATTTTTTTTGTAACTCTATGAATTTTAGAGGAAGAGGTGTAGGGTGTAGTGATATAAAATTGACAACTCATTATCTAGGCCACCATTCAATTTTTACAATTTAAATGAAAAAAAATTCTTTCACCTTCAATTCTGGAAGGTTATCATTTATTTGTAAAAAATTTCAATAACAGGTCAGAACCTTTGCGTCATCCACCTGTTATTGAATGTATGTCATTGTTGTGTCACGTGGGGCTCCACTTCAAATTAATCAACTCATTATTTAGAGAAGACCATACATTAAGAAAATGACTGGTCACTGAGGTAAAATTGCTTAATCATTGAGTCAATTAATCATGTCATCTTTTACTTTGATTTTTTATTTATTTAATTTTTAAAAACTAAAATAATATTTAAAAGTTATAGAAAACTGAGAAAATGATTTTTTTTTTTTTCTCTAATTTTACATTAATTCTTAGTATTGTTTCTTAAAACTATTTTCCAAAACATAAAATTGTATTTAAACTCTATATGCAATAAAAATTCACGAAAGTCCTCGGATCTATAAAATCAAGACATGAGTTCTCATTAACAAAAGTTAACTCTTGTGTATGCAAAATTTAATCATTTTCTTTGTCATTAAAAGGTAAAAATCTTATATGAAATATATGAATTAAACTTATCTTAATAAGAATGAAAGTGAGGATATTAAAAATGGGAACATAAACATTACATTAGAGATTAAATTAATTCAACAATATTTTGAGCGAGTTTTGGAGACAGGTCTAATCAAAGTACAACCCCATGAACTCGATAACTCAGACACGTCTAATCTAAACATATATTATTAAGCAAAGTCTTCGATTAATGTGGAAATTAATGAAATCTTTAATTACATGGACATGATTTGAGATAATATCTAAAATCTGCTTTTGGTGGTAGAAATACTAACTTAACAAATTGAGTGTTACTACGATCATTATAATTTGATTTCATATCCTAGTAATAATTTTTTATTAGATTGATTTTTTTCAATTAAATTATTATAAATAAGGCAGATTATTAAAGACGATAATATTAGAAAATATGATATCATGTCAATTAAAGACTTTGGTGGTAGAAATACTATACCTTTATGTTGTCAAAGATGAATAACTTTCAAAATATATCTTTTATTACTCATTTCAATGGTAGAAATTATGTTTGATATAAAATCTAAAATCTGCTTTTGAATTAAAAGTGATAGAAAACCAAGAAAACGTTTTTTTTATTTTTTTTATTTAATTTTACACTAGTTCTTATTATTGTATTTGAAAATAATTAGTTCTTATTATTGTATTTGAAAATAATTAATAATATCGTAACTAATTATAATATATATAAAGCTTATTTAATTGATAAATTAATATAAGTTTTCTTGATATTATTATTAGTTAAAATAACTTTTCACGAATCTTTGTCAACCTCAACAACAATCAACATTTCTGGCTGAGTTGACTCAATGCCAAATCCCTTAAGATATGGACAAAATTATTATGGTTATTGGATTTTTTTAATCTCAAAAAGTAGATTTGGACAATACCAAGTTACCAAGTGATCAAGATGAAGATGACTATTTTGCAATGTTCCAAAATCAAATCAATTATGATTTTAATAAAGGATAATGACTCAGTATTACCTTTATTAGATGTTCAAAATTTTCGACAGAGTTCAACATTTTCAAGATTCCCTTTATTTACTTTATCACACGCCTTCTGCAGAGAACAAGATTTTCAAGATTCCTTTATCAATAAAATCATTTTGTCGGCCAATATCAAGACAAATCCTTAATAATTCAAGACACGTTTCAAGACAACTCATCAACTTATCAACTACTTTATCTTTTATTCTGTATTGTAATTATTAAGACAGATTCAAATGTATTTGAAATCCAGTCCTCTGTAATATAAGTATGTATCACTTTCTTTGTAAGCAACAGATGAAAAAAATAAAGAGAAAAACAAGAGATCAAAAAGTGAGAGAGCAAAAATTTTAGTCCTTTGAAAANAAAAAACTCTCAAAACTCCTTGAAAGATTGAAGGAAGAATTGAGAGGAAATGGTGGGAGAGAATGGCGGTGGAAGAAGAATGAATGAAGGGTTTACTAAGCTTCAACCCTTTTTAGCTCAAAATATATTCATTCATTCCCATTTTACCCTTACTCTTTCTTAGAAATTCCACTTTTGCCCTTTGGATTCTTTGCAAATGCACCCCCATTTAAACTATTCTTCATGCAATTTCCTTACATTTCACTCCCCACTTTTCCCGCTAATTAGGGGTAGAATGGTCATTGTGCTCCAAAGGAAGAATTCTCTAGAAACTTAATAAACCTTTTGTTATGCCCTTCACCGCGGCGAAGAATCTTTCTTTGCCCTGGCGAAAAATTCCAGAACCTACACCGTAGGTTGCAAGGCTTCATCGCCGCGGCGAAGCTTCTTCTCCGCCCCGGTGAAATCTGAAAAACAGAATTTCACCAAGTCTTTGCAAATTTCAGGGCAATCATTCAACCAACTCACAATATCCATTCAACCAAGGGCCAACCAAACAATATGAACAATATACCAACTCAGTTAAGAGCAAAACAATAAAGATTCAAGCAATGCAACATAAATTAGCTACATACCTCAAGTGGGGCGTTACATTCACTCTTCAATCCTTGATATAACATAATATTATATATAGTTTCTTATTTTGCCCTTGCACTTTCTTTAAAATTCCATCTTTGTCCCTTAGTCAATTACCATAATGCCCTCATTTTATTACATTCTCCATGAAATTCTATCTCTTTTCACTCCCCACAATTTCAACTAATTTTGAGTGCAAAGACCATTTTACCCCTAATGAAATTTTAAGGCATTTTCTTCACATTTTCTCAAAATAACTTTAACAAAAATCAACTACGGGTATAAGGGCATACGTTAAGCTACGTACCTCAATGTGGGTGTTACATCAACCCTCTCACAAAGGACAGAGACATTACACCTTCAGACCCTGGAGTTCCCACTCTTGAGAACTTCGCATTACAGTCGTAGTCACAGTCTCCGACTAGACTTCCAGTAACCTTTCATCTCCCTAACCCTCACTAAACTAGCCTCAATCAGCCTTGTTGACTTGAGCGTCGGAGTGTCTACGACAAATACCACCCCAGTTTTTTCCGTCCGCTTCACACTTGTTTTCTTGCGTGTGCAGGTGCAGCAGATCGCTAGTAGTCTTAACCTTACAAGATCAGTCCCTCTTTTTCGTAAAGGTAGATCTTTTCATCTACACTAAGTTATTTTTAAAATTATTTATTAAAATTTACAATTTTAGTAATTTATTTACTAATAAAAATTTTTATTAAAAACACCTAGTAAAAAATAAATACTTGACAAAACTGTTCCCAAGTTCTAAGCAAATAAAGGAAGGATTTTGAAAAGCTTTCCAATTGGGCCCAAAAGAAAAAGGAAATAAAGACTTGTTCTTTAAAATTGTCAATTTTAAGAAAATTTTCCATTAACAAATTGCAGAATTTAATCTTTCCTCCCACAACAACCGTCAGATCTCCGCAATCTGCGGGCCTTTCCTTTTCTCGACCGTTGTAAGTATAAAAGTGAATCGGACGGTTCAAACCTTCAACTTCTTTGCCGAGGTGTACGTTCAGGATTAACAAACCACTGTAGCTAAGTGTTAAAGCACAAGTTCAAGATCCTGAATTGGTTAGTGGGCATTTTTAATGATGACAATTGACAAATTGAATCGAGGCTAAGTTCTATTTTCCTATTATTTTACCTTCCACATTAATATAATAATCTCCCCCTTTTTTAATGTCAAAATCTTCGATACCTTTACCAATTGCCTAAATTTTTTATTTATTTGTTTGTTTATTTTATTTTTTAGCCAGGACATTATGATACATATATATTAATATTGTGTTATTTATAACTATTTCGATTGAGAAAAATATATATTTTTTAATCTAATTTTTATGTAAATAAAAGTTATGAAAACAGTCATAATAATATCACAAAGAAAGTACATATTAATCATAAGTAATTTCTTATACAAGCTCCTTATTTAAACATATTTAACAAATGTTGCATAATTTTTTTTTTTTTTAATCGAAATGTTTAAACTAATTTACGTGCACCTTAACTAATATTTCAAGATATTTTCACTAATTTCACTTAATACAAATATTGAAAGTCTCCAAGAAATAAATAAATATCTTCTATTAGACCTCATTCTTAATTCATTCATCCTTTTTTTTTAACTTTGATATGTGTTGTATTCATTATATTTGTATACAAAAAAGTGAATTATTATTCTCAAACATCAAGAAATTAAATTCAATGAACCTAATCAAGTTTACCTTAATCAAAACCACTTTACTCTAAGTTACTTTTAAGAGAAACACTCACCCTTGATCTCTATTTAAACACCCTCTAAACTTGTAATTTTCTCGTTCAATCCCATTTCATGTTAATCTCCAAAACAAAATGGCACATTCAACTTCAACAATTGTTGCATTATTCATCTCAGTTGCACTCTTGATCGTCTCCACAATGGCTCAATCTCCATCGTCTTCTCCAAAACAAGTGCCTGCAACAACTGGAGCTCCACCGGTGGCTTCACCTTCGCCACTCACTTTTAACACTCCGCCATTTTATATTCCGGGGCCAATGGTTTCTCCTTCATCCATTTCCATGCCACCGTCACAAGCTCAAGCTCCTGCCCCTGCCCCTGCTCCTTCAGAAAACGCAGCTGTTTCCAATACATTTTCTGTTGCCGGCTCATATGTGGCCTTTGGTCTATTTGTTGCTATTTTTATGATGGTTTAGGGTTTCACTGGGTTTACTTATGTTTTATTTGTAGTGGTTGAAAGATATTACGTGATTTTTATAGTTCATCTCCATTATTTCTGGTTAGTTTTATTATTATTATTATTATTTTGGTGTTTATGAAGTTGTGATGATGATTGCTTTTATAAATTTTGAATTTTGAAGTCAAAAAGAGGATTCAAATTCTTCCAATGCGTAACACGTTTTACACTTTTTTGCTTTACCTCATATTACTTTGCAATCTTTTTGGTGTTGGGCTATTTGTTGAATAAAATGACTGAAAATTCATGACAAGTTTTTGTAGATCAAGTGAAAATGAAATTGAGACAACATACTTGAGAAAGCTCTGATGGATAAACAGTCAAGTTCAAATACATTTCTGATATTTAAATTTAGCAATGGAAGGATGAAATATTCTAAAGCATGTTTGTTACTTTTTGAAATATTACATTTTATGGCACCTATGGGTAGTGGAAAACATGCTCCAATCGAATAACTAAAGCAACTTAACGACCCCGTTAATAAATCTTTCGGTCAATACTACATTCTTTTCATTGACAGGATTGCATATTTTCTGTTTCTAGTAACAATATTTTTAATTAAAGGAACTACGTGGTTATGCACTGCTATGAAGATTTTTGTTGAATTTTTAAATAAGATAATGGGTCAATAGTAGTCGAGTCAATCCTTCAATGTAACTTATGTGAGTAAAATTTTCATTTTAATTTCAACCATCTAAATGCATTAATTTAATTTAACAGTTCAAAAATTATGTTAGTATACCTATTTGTATTCATTGGTCGTCTAACAATGAGTATATTTGTTCATTGATATACAATAAACACATCTTTTGAAGACTAATGAAATCACATTCAGATGACAAATTTAACATTTTTATAATATTTTCTTCTTATTATCAACCCTAGTTTAGAAGACAATTAAAGATGCAACATTAATAATATATGATCAAATAAACATCGTACAGCCGGTGAAGAAATCCCTCAACCTCAAAATAAAATGAAACTACAACGACCACACCACAGTTAACAAAGAAGGAAAAAGTGGTCAAAAGTAACTGCAACCCAACACTCTACATGACCAAAACCGCCGCAAAGAGCCCGGCAGCCACCGATCCGCCGACAGAAAACCTGTTGAAAGCACCGGCATTGACAGAGGGGGCAGGAGCTCCGGCTGGTGGCGTGGAGATTACAGAGGGAGTAGAAGGAGCCAATGGAGGAGGCCCGGGAGGTGAGGTCATCACAGAGGACGGAGAAGGAACCGGAGGTGGCGCAGACGCCGGTGGTGGAGAAATCAAGGGTGGTGATCTCGTAGGAGAAGGTGAAGGTGAAGATGAAGGAGACTGAGCCATTGTTGAAAGGACCAAGAGAAGTGGCATGAGAGTGGAGAGGGCACTGGTTGAGCGAACCATTGTTACAGCGAAAGCTTGCTCAGGAATAGGGAAACCGGAAATGAATTCAGACGACGAAGCAGCACAGCTTATCAAGGGAGGGGAAACAAGCATTTATATAGAGAAAGGTGAAGGATTTATTATAGTTTCCTCCTCAAGCTTGAGGAAATTCAAATGCACCCAAGGATTTTCGAAACTAACAAATGCACCCAAATAATTGTCTACTATATCATATAAAGACTATAATACCATTTGTTTAATCATATATTCTTTTCATTTATGGCGAAAATATTTTAATATCATTTATCTTATTATACTTCCCTTTCTTATTTTACATTATTCAATTTTTTAAGTATGTAATTTCTTTAAATTTAGGTTTTATTATATTTTCAAATTATTGTATAAAGTTAATTTAATTTAACTATTCATACATTTATTTTAATTATAATTTATTATATAAAATTGGTTAATACATACTATTATTTATATAGTTACAATAAAAATTGAAGAAATAATTTCTGAAAAATATATAATTTGACAAAAAGGTGTTAATTTATTATGGTAAAGCAAAGCTAAAAATTTTCCTTTGCATTTGTTGCTTTCTAAAAATCTTGGGTGTATGTTGTTCTTTCCTCAAACCATAAGGATTATTGCGTAGAATTAAAAGTATTTGGGCTGCGTTTGTTACACCAAATTAATTAAACCTAATGAAATAAACAGTTAATATTTATATTACAGTATTTGATTAATAAAAGTAAAATTATAATAACCAGATTGAATAAAAAATTAAATATCTAATTGATTTGAACCGATATGATTTATGAAATTTAATTTATTCAATCCAATAATATATCTAATTAATGATGTTGCAATTAAATCTCAACAAATTTTGTGTAAATTGGCGTGGAAAAGTATGTGGTTAGAGTTAGATGTGGACTGTTGGACCAGGTGTGAGAATGAAAAGAAAAAGTGTTGACCTTGTCAAACACGGTGTTGGAATGTGAATCCACGTTTTTTTATATTGTGCTACTGGGACGCCACTAAAGTACAGTTATTTGTTAATCCTGTACGTACACGTGTATGGAATTTTAATTTTTTTAAAAAGTTAGTCGAAATTGGAATGATCTACTAATAATAAAAATAAGGAAACTGTACAAAAAAGATAGTAATTCAAGAGAGTATTTCGGAGAAGAAAAGAATTTTTTTTTTTTTTAATAACTTGGAGTGTCCGAACCAACTTACACATACCTCAACTAATCATCTAAGACCTTAGAACTATCAGCTGTGTAAGAGTTCCAATAACTATCTCTATTAGAAATCGAAGAGGAATTTAAACTTAGAATCTCTTAAGTAATACACCCAAGAGTCTTTATCGAACCACTCAATCACTCAGAGATAGTTTTGAAAAGAACTTTCATCTATATTCATTATCAATGTCTTTGGAAATTACATAGAGATAAGAAATTGGGATGAAACTCAGTTACTAATTTTGTTGATAACTATGTTCAGATTAGAATAACTTAAAATTTTGATTTAAATTGTTGGCAATTTAAATATTTTTAATTATAATCTAAAGAATTTTAAAATAATTATTTTTTATATCAACTCAAATATTTTTTTAATTTATAAATATTAAATTACCTAAACCTAACTTTAGGTCCTAAGCCTTCAAAAAAGAAAAAATATTAATTAATATTCAAGATTGTCCCTTTTCGATTTATTAATCTTACAATTAGAATTACAAAAAGTACAAAATGAATTGTCTAATTCACTCAAAACTGAATTATCATTGTTAATCTCAAAAATTTTATTTTTAATATCGAAATATATAAAATAACTTATCTAAAATTATTGTTGATACAGAAATCTACACCAATTAGAGACTTTCGATTGACCTTGCCGGAACTGGAATGGATGTGCGTGTGATTAAGAATAATCAACAATGTATGTAAAAATGCAATAAAGTAAAGACAATGAGAGTTTTAAAGCGGTTCGGCGAGGTTAACTCTAAAGCCTACGTCCACTGTTTTTGTATTTGTTGTGAAAGCTTACAATATAATTCTTATGTAAAATTCGTAACCCTTTTCCTCATCTTTTAAGAGGGTTTATATACAAGATTTGTACAAAAAAAAGAGCGAAATTAAAGGGATTACAATTGATCTGAATCGTAATTATGATATTCTCGCGATTGAGTGTTGTGATCATTGTTGATCTAGTTATTCCTGTAATATCTGGGATCTGAAGTAATCTGGAGATTGATTGAATGATTGTTCGGATTGCTCGCGACTAGCTTATACTGGGTCGAGCTATAGCTCGACGAGCTTATGCTGGGTCGATCAATCATCGTTGCCGAGCTAGTTCTAAGTTGAGCTATATCCTCGCGAAGGCCCGAGCTTGATGGAAAAATCACACACAACATTTTCCCCCTAGTGTTCGATGCTCGTTTCGGGCTTCGAAGACTACTGCTCGATTTGACGTCAAGCTCGACCTCATTAGCAAGTCTCCGAGTGTAAGTTCGATCAAGCTTCCAAGGTCGACCTTATGTATGGCCGACGTACTTCACACTTGGATCTAGTTAATGTCGAACAGAATTTCCTTCCGACCGCGAGCTTACAAAGGCTCTAACGTTTTAGCTATCTTCCTGACGACCAACATTACGTCAACGTGCTTCTCACGCTTCCTCATTTGAAAGCGTACGGCTTTGTCAGGACGAGGCCAAATTCCTTACGGTCCTAGAAAAAGGTTCAATTGTTACTTGCTCATTTTTACTTTCCCACGCAAATAGGTCGCTAATTTGTTTGCCTCTTTCCTTGTAGAGATACGGGCGGGCTGAAAAACCCAATGGCCTTAAGAAGAAAACGGTGACCCCGACGGCCACCAAGAAGGCACCAATTGCTTTGGCGACAAAACAGCTCGCGGACACTGCCGGCTCAAAGCGCTCTGGTAGCGAGTTTGGGGGAGGCCCAAGCGCGAAGAAGCTCGCGACTGCCTCTAAGGCAGTTGGCGGGAATAGCATTATTGAGCCCTAAAATGGGACAGCGAAAAAGATGCCCGAGCTAACTGGAGGCTCGGGAAAACATAAAGCATCCGAGCAACATGACGGCTCGGGGAAGAAGAAAGCAACCGAGCCTTAGGCGAGCTCGGGCAAGCAGAAAATTGCCGAGCAAAAGGTTGGCTCGGGCAAAAAGGTCACCACGCATGCTAGCAGCCTTCAGAGAGTAGCGGCCAAGGACTTGGCCAAGAAGAAGTCTGCTCTTGCAGGCGAGACAGGCACTGTCGGGGGGAGTAAGTCTGGATTGCTCCAGTCGAAAAATAAGAAGATGGACGTGACAGCCCATGTTGCGGTCGACGAGATGATCGACCAACTCCCTGATCACATTGGCCTCGGGCCGCAGCGGCCAGGGATGCTATCACCCTGCAAACTTACGTGGCCATTAGGGATGCTTTGCCACCAAGATTTTGGGCTTGCTGTGCAGCTTCACGGCAAAGGTACTGGTAGCTTGCTTTTCTTCCTTTTTACTTGTATATTATCCTTGCTTTTTGTTGATTCTCTTTTATTTTCTCTTTAGGCTGCCTTGGTGAGCAAGCTCCTCTATGATGAGTGTACGACACTTTGGAGGGCACTCATCAAGGATGGCAGGCGACGGAGACAATGAAGGAGGACGCTCTGGTCAGGGTCGAGCTTGCAGAGAAAGAGAGAGAGGCAAAGCAGGCTGAGCTTGAACGGCTCAGGAGGGAAGTTGCGACCTTCCAGGTCAAAAAAATGGAGTTCCTTGACAAACTCAATGTGAGCGAGGCTGCTCGGGCCAAAGCTGAAGCTAAGGTAGCAGAGGTCGAGAAGACTTTGGCACAGCGGCGGGGTGCTAACAACAAGCTGAACTCCGAGCTATCCTTGGCTCAGAAGGCTTGTAATATTCTTTCTAGCTAGTATACTTGGAAGGTATAAAATGAAAACTCACTAAATATATCATAGAAAAACATATATGGATATATGTATAAGGTAGTGGACCCAAAAATAGCATTACTTTTATATACAAATATCTATATCAAGTACCATAGTCACAAAAATAAACTCAAAAATACAGTCCGACAATGTTGTCTTCCTCGTCCGCTACTTGACGTCCCATCTGACCGCATCTCATCTGCTACCTGCAAAAACAGTGAAATCAACGAGGTGAGCACCAATTGCTCAGTAAATAAACCCACAACACTTCTATTCTTTCTCCGTTTCTCAAATTCTGAATTTTCTTTCCTTACACCAAGCTTCTCTATTCTTCTCTGTTTTCTACGATTCTAATTTCTCACTTACCGTTATATAAGCACAAATAGGGAAACTAACTTGGGATAGTAGAAATCGCATGATGCACATGCACAGATGCATAAACGTTTCTATGCAATACATTTTCTTTTTTGCTTTTCTGTTTTCTGTTTTTCTTTCTTTTTCTGTGTTTCTTTCTTTTTCTATTTCTCTTCTTTCTTTTCTGTTTCTATTCTCTCTTTCTTTCCTTTTCTTTTCTTTCTTTTCTTTTCTTTTCTTTCTTTTCTTTCTTTTCTTTTCTATTCTTGTTTGCCAATCGGACTCGATTGAGGCATGGATTCGGAACCCTAGTCGTGTGAGTGGGTACAGTCCTCATCTACATGCACTTCTAACGGACTGTACAAATTCTTCTTTCTTATTCTGAGGTCGCTCACTAAAAGTGGCTTGCATGTAGGTATGCTCTGTTGGGTACAGTCCTCATCCACATGCACTTTTAACGGACTGTACAAATTCTTCTTTCTTATTCTGAGGCCGCTCACTAAAGGTGGCGTGCATGTGGGCTATTCTTCTTCTTGGTCACTCACGGGTTCCCCATCGCAACAACCTTCTCTTCTCTTATCTTTTTACATTTCTTTAAATAAAATTTCAGATTTGAATTATTCTTTAATTATGTTTCTTAAAACAATAATTCTACATTTAATTTCTTTTTTTTCTTTTTCTTTATTATTTAATATTCTCATACATGTATATGTGCATAAATATGTTCATTCTTTGCTATTCTTTCTAAATGCAAATGTAAGAATGTAAGAATGCATTATGGCATATAAAGATATCATTAGGGAACTAGTATTTTCTA